AAAACGATTGTTTTACGGTTGACAGCAGCAGTAGGTTAAGCATTGTCGTCTTGCCGAAATGACATTTCGTCCGAATGAAAAATCTCATTGACGTTGAATTGCGGTTTTACATTTTCAAAATTAACGCACCGCTCGAAGCGCATAAACTTTCAATGTGAATTTAATTGCGTATAATTGACGAATTGAATTCTGTTTCCATTCGCATACATTTGATCAGAATATGTGGTATCTGTGTGTACGCGTGTGATTTTTTTTCCTCATAGACAAACAACGTCGTTTTTTGTGTGTCATTCGACAACAATATCAAAAAAAAGGTTGGAAGATCGTGATATAAAAAAAATATAATAAAAAATCCTGAATGCGCGCTCGCCCGAAAATTGATGTTGCAAAACCCTTTGCCAGTTGGAGTTTATACTCATCACAATTGTTCGTTCTGTATCATCACCTTCTTGCGCCGTATTCGCTGTCGACTGTCGGCTGTCGAACATTCTGACTGAGTGCGAATAAACGATATATATGTCATACCGAGATCAGCACAGTAGAACAGTGTGTATGTGTATGTGTATGTGTGTGTGGAGTATGGTGTACCGCTTACTACGATTACGTATACTCATCTATCTGCCCCATCTACTGTTTGTATTCGACTCGCTTAAACGCTCAAATCACCGTTTAATTGAACAGCGCTATAACAAAAAACATATTTAATGAAATGGAAATGGAAATGTGTCCTCGTGAATATTACTTCGTACCAGGTTTTTCACTCATTCCATCTCTCTCTCTCTCTCTCTCTCTCTCTCTCTCTCTCGCTCACTCTCTCTACCTCCCTCCACTTTTTGCTCTCACTGTTTTATTCTTTTTATTGTGCGATATCTTTCACTCGGTTGGTGTACTACCATCACGTTTCATCAGCACCGAATGCGAAAGGTGTTGGTGTTGTCTCGCAGCAAGGGCACGAACGCACTTTTAATATATCAATTGACACCGCACATACATACACGCCGTGTGCTCTCTGGCACGCAAACATATCCCCCATGTGCCGTGCAGAACATCGGCGAATTTTTAAGGTAGTTTTCATTTATGATTTTTAATTTAATCATCGCATATTATAATATATAACATTAATAGAATGTTGACGTGCACACACGCTTTTGCACTGCAACGATCATCGCGCATCAAATAAAATATGATTTAATTAAGGCGGATCTCATATAGCAGACAAACGAGATATTTAATGTGTTTTCGCTCTTTATGAGGTCTTCCCGAAATTGATCCTCAAACCCTAAAATTATGAAATGAATACCAATTAATTGTTTACAGTTGAAAACTTTTATCATTACATAACATTGTTTGTGTGTGTGTGTGTGTGTGTGTGGGCTCGCATGTGTACATTTTTATATATGGGTATGAATTTTATTCGCTGCATTCCAACCGAATCGTCAACACATAAAAATTTAAATGTGCTCATCTCTCACAATATGAAACGTGCATTTTATTCCGTTTTATTAGGCATGTGGCGGCTCTGCACAATTGCACAAGCTCGATAATGTTTCGATTATCCTAAGAGCATCCCAACAAGAGCAAGTGCACACTATATGCGACTGCTCGTCGAGTGGTGTGAGGTTATATATGAAATGTGTTAATATAATGCACTGAAAAATTGCTCTATATCTATGTCTATGTCTTTATATACATGAGTGTGTGAGTGTGCAGTGTGCATGTTTTTATTTTCACCAGCCTCAAGTGTGAGATCTGAGTTTACATCGTCATTAGCTGATTTACAAACTTGTGTGATTTTGTCGGTAGTCCCGGTAGCAATTATTGGATCACAGTGGAAAGGAATAATTACTACATTGAGTTTCAACTGGAAGATCTACAAATGTGGATGCAAATGCAAGAGTGTCTGTGTGTGCTAGCAAGAGAAACAGTGAGTGAACATTTACATATATGCCAATTGCACTCATTTCGCGGAGTGGCGCGGTTCTTATTCTTATTTTTTCTTATTCGCGCGCCATTCATACTTGCATTTACTTAAAAATGCCTTTCAACATCGCACACGAAGAGCGAGTGAGCGAGTGAGTGAGTGAGCAAGCACACGAGAGCGCATTTTCTTCGTTGATTCAAGCGTTTTATGAATGGTAATAACGATGACGCCTGCCTGATGATGACTTAGAACAGTGGTGTCGATGCAACGACGTTGCACATCAAAAACAACGGTCATACATTACGCTTGTACGAAGAGCACTGCACTTAAAATATCATTTTGTTTTTGTTTTCATTTCACGAGAGAACAGAATTACGTAGCACAAGACACACAACAGCAGTAAAACAAGCAATGGAGACAATTCACAAACGAGCGAAAATAAAAACACACACAAGAATAGAAGGCAGAGAAAAAGGAACGAAAAAAAGTATCTCTATATATTATGTATGTATGTATGTGATACAGATATACTGTATATCACGAAATTGATGTATTTTCATGTTCAGTTGAGATTTGAGCTGCAAGTGTGATATTGTACAGAAAATATATTTTTGTGAGTGAATATAGAGGCATCAGAGAAAAAAAACGAGAACCGTTATGAATGTGTGTATATGTCTCTATGTGTGTGTGTGTGTGCTGGGTGTTATGTAAAGCCTCGGAAAGACACGGGTTATTATGGATTATTAATTCTGTAACACATATATAATTGAAGGATTTTCTTTCAGCTTCTCCGTTAAATCGTTACCATTGTGCTTTAAAAAAAAAAATATGGAACACACAGCACCAACCGACTGTATGTCAAACGTCAAGAGAATGGATTCGCTCAAAAGTGGTCATGACATTTATATCGAAGCTCATATGTCCCATATCTAAGCCCGAAGATCTAACAACTCTCTGCACAGCGAAAAAAAAGCGAGCCATGAAACAAACGAACGAACAAGCCGAGTCATAATATCGTAATCATTTTTATTGACTCGAGCATTTCGGAAACCCGTCCTACTTTTAATCTTGCTCTCTCGCTTTGCCTGACAAAATATAGCAGCATTTTCCCTAATAATTCAGCGCTAATGTTCCATTTGGACTTAAAACCGCATTCTAAGTGCTCGCTACCAATAATCTCTCGTTTTCCCTATCTCCACAACTCACTCTCTTCCTCTCTGTCTTGCTACGAGCTAAGATATATGAAGTAAAACGAACCGTGTAAAACAGATTTATCGCTTTGCACTTTCTGTTTTGAGAAGAAAGAAAAGCACACTGCATCAAATCCGTTTTATGCCATTCAATTGCATTTACTATTGTCAAGAACCTTACAATTAAAACAATACAGCAATCTCAACTTAAAACCCTATTAAAAACAACATTTTTGCACAAAAATGTCAAAACTTAATAACTTTTCATGAGTGAAAAAAGTGTGTTTACTCTTCTTACAATTTGTTGTTGGCAATCCACAATCGTAAATCCTGACTTACACTCATAAAAGTCAGGTTCAGGGTATATATTTTCCTCTTTCTTTTTAAATACATTTCATTTGAAAGCGTATAAATAGTGCATACAATTGTAGAAATATAGTTGTAAATCGGATTTGGTGCCTTATCCACCATGGCATTTATCTGAGCCGTATTTTTCGCGTGAACTGCAAACGTTACATAAAAATAACAAATAACAACAACAACAATAAAAATTCATGTAAAAAAAATTCACAAAACTATTGGAGCTGTTTTCTTTATATTTGCCTGTGCCTGTGTGTTCCTCGACGCGTGTGGGGGGAGCTGGTGCAAAGTGTTTGGGCTTTGGAAACTCAAGTAGAAGCAAAACAATACACTTTTCACGTATTCGAGCAAATTCGAGAAGCGAACAGTGCGGTCCAGAGAGAGAGAGAGCCGCACACGACCACTCACCGAAAGTGAGAGCGAGGAAGAGTGCGAGAAAGACGTGAAAATTCATTTACACTCGATGTTGGCGGCATCACTCTTCAATAATATTCAATGTGATTTTAACATAAATTCAATTATCGCCTACAGTCTAAGTGTCTGAGCCATAGTGTTGTGCATAGAGTGTTCCCAAAATATATCTACATCTACACTGCCGTATGCTGCACACACAGAGTGGAATGTTTTCAGCACGTCATCACGAGAAAAAAAGAGCATAGTTGCGATTTTGAAGTTTCGGTTATAAACCCTTGAAAATAAGGAATGACGTGCGCGACGACGACGATGTTGACGATCGAAAGCAAAGTAAAGACACGAAAAAGAACAAACTATGAGAAATGCGAATGTAATGATGCAAAGTAAATGGGAAATATGAAGAAAAAGTGCTGGACGTCCAACGGAGCTCTGGAAATGGAGATAACGAAGACAAATCATGTCGAGATCATTGGTATATGATAACTCAACATGTATCACGAATCACAAATATCCCATTGATTATTTATATACATTGTTGTTGGCTCGTTTGTAAAAACGAAAATATGAAAAATGCTAATTGATTTACGACTGTTATTTGTTGAATTTTCTTGCGTGCGCTTCGCATGTTAAGCATCCAGTGATTTATTTTTTTCGATTTTTCAATTACAGCTTAAACCGCACGTAATAAATGCTTAAAAGTACATAGCATACTAAACACATGAGCACATTAATGTGATGGAAAAATTAGCGAGAAAAAAAAACACGACGAGAAGAAAAATTACGGTTAAACTTGCTCGTATTCTCACTCTGTCTCTCATTTTGGCTGACTATACGTATTCGGTGATGTTCATTTTTCTTTGTCTCACTTATTCGTTTAAATTTATTTTTCCCGCATTCGCATTTGTGTCTGTGTGTAGGAATTCGTGTGCTTTCTCCTAGTCGAATATTTGCTCGCTTTGCGCCAAAAAAAAAACAATGACAAAGTAACGTGTTATGGGCACAGAAAAAAAGAATATAAGCAACCAAATATATGGTACATTTATCTCGGGTGTGTGTGTTTGTATGTGTGAAGCAACATTCAATTAAATTCAATTTATTTTAATTTATTTATTTACTTTTTACGTTTCACTTAAAGCCCTTTACAGCTGTTCGAAGTGCACATGTATCTCTCTCGATTTAAACTGTTTTGCATTCACTTTTATCTTATATTTTCAATGTATGGCACTGCATTTGTGTGTTTAGTTTTGTTTTTTGCTCGTTCATCACCAATTTGTTCGGTGTTCAAAGTTTCTTTTTTTTGTGTGTGTCGGTTTTGGCTATATCTCGTTTTTCATCAATTTTATCGAATTAAGCTAACAAACCACACTTAAATTGGAAACTTTTTTTGCTGTTTTTATTTTCAAATATATCTATATAAATTATTCTCACGCTGCATCACTTTTTGCGCTTTTTTTTCTCTTTCTCTCTATCTAATATTTCCTAACGTTCAATCGCAATGTTCTTTTGTTCACTTTTCCACACGTACCGAACGACGTTCGGTTAAAATGTCAGTTATACAGAGTAGTACAAATGTTTAACATTTGATTTTGGTTATTGGTTGTGGCAGCGAGCACGAGCGATTCGCTAAACTCAACATTTTCCGGACAAGTTCAGAACGAAACTGAATTGTGTGTACGTACGGTGAGGAAAATTTCATTGCAGCGCCGAGAGCCGAAGTGAAGTTTATTTTCCGTTTTTATATATTTTTTGTCTTCAACAATTTTGTTGCTACTGTCGTCGTTGTTTGTTCGCTGTACTACTTTTCGACGGATGATTTTGCTCTCGTATCAGGAGTTCTGTGAGCGCACGAGACTACGTACGTATTACATATCGTACAATTGGAGCATGTTGATGCTATTGGCACAAGTGAAGTAATTTCCCACTCTTTGCCTGCCTCGTTTCGTTTTCTCTCTGTGTGTCAGTCCCCGGTGTTTGTGTGTCCCGTTTTGGCACGCGCGCGTGTGCTTCTCTCGTTCGCTCTCTCCCTCTCCGTCTTTCTTGATGACTTCTCCGTACCGTGTACCGTATTGTGAGTATGGTGAGTACAAATACGCAAAATGTGTGTTTTGATTTGACATGCATGTGTCGGTGGAAGAGAGCGAAAGAGCGTAAGCGGCTGTGTGTATTTGGAGAATTGTATTTATGTTTAGATATGCTTTGGCATTGTCGAGAACAATTCACGTGCACATTTACATTTGGAATTTCGGTCAATACACAACACACCATTAATTCGATTCGCTGGAGCCCGACAGCAATGGAAAATTTGTGTGTTGTGTTTTTTTTTCTTTCACTACACAAAACTTCGATCGAGTCGTTCGATAGAATGTAGTTTATGTTGATATAGCTTGTGGGGCTTGTGACGATGAATCGAATATGAACATGATTTCGTTGCTACCATATTTATGCCCAATAGCTAGGCTTAAGAATAGTGGACAGAAAAAAGGACTGTCCGCAGTAATTTTAACGACAGTTTTTGTTTCCTATTGCGTTCGCCCGTTTGAGTGCAGCGGGCACAAGCTATATTGCAAGATGCATCTATTTTTTGTCGTTGGAAAAAAAGCACTTATATCTGTTTAGCGATGTTTTGTGTCCGAGCAATGAAAAGGGCCAGCAATCAGCCAAAACAAGCACACACACACACACACACACACACACACACACACACACACACACAC